TATTGATATTCTTTTCTTTTCTATTCTTCTTCTTTATTTGTAACAAAAATATAATAAAGTTCTAATTATTTCCTATCCCATATTTCATGATAATAAATGATTTCTCTATTTTAAATTTACAAACAAAATCTAGAAAACTCACACAATTCACTTATAGACATAGATTAAACTGATGAAAATATTTTATAATACTGAGAAGAGGTGGAAAGTGGAAACTAAGTCTAGTAACCCCTAGTCTTAAGTGAGGACAATTCAAATGTGAAAAAATTTAAGGTAAAAAAATGACAACTGATCACAGAGTAAGTGTATTTTGAATATCCCATCACAAGTAAAAGTCGAAGAGGTTGTAAAACTCATAGAAGCAAAATGGAGTTTGCACTATATAAGGTAGATTGAAGACAAAAGTAATAAGCCAATGACTCAACCTTTTACTGCGTAAAATGAAAGAGAAAGACAAAAAATGATTTCATATGATAACAATCAAAATGATCTATCATTTCTCTCGTAGCATGCCTAATTTAAGAAAAGACAATTAGGTTTACATGTCAAAAGTTACATTTAGAACAAACAGTTGTTAAAAACTACAGAATAAAATGTAAAAATAGGGAAAGCTAAACCCAAATAATTGTTACTTACCAAGGGGCCAAAATAGCTACTCCATCATACCCATATCCATGGCAAAATGAGTGAGTTAATTATTTGCTTTTTCTAATAATCATCAGGATTCATGATGCTAATAACCAAGCTTTGATAAAACCAAGAAGAAAAAAAAGTAGACCGAACAGGCCGGTTCAATCGAAAAACTGGTGAACCAATTGCTGGTCTGGTCTGGTTTGATGAAAAACCGCCCCCAGTCAAACTGTTTAGAAACCGGTTCAACTGGTTAAAACTGGGTAATTGATCAGGTAGATGGATTGCCCCGTTTGATTTTTTTTTTTTTGCCCTTCAACTAATGAAACAACAACGTTTCAAGTTGAAAATTTAAAAAAAAAATCCAGCAAGGCAACAACGCTTAGCTTCAAAAATTCTCAAATTAGTCAATCACTAACTAAACCTTCAGCTTAGCCATTTTCGTCACTCCCCCGAAATCAAAAATCTGTAGCCGAAATCAACCCTCACTGTAGTTGCGGTTTTCTTCGCTGTCAGAAAGGATCTGGAGATGCCATTGAGGTAAGTGAAGGTGATCTTAGTAGAATTAGGATCGTCAATGAAGATATCAGAGATAGTGACCCAAAAGAACAGCTCCTAGCTCTTCACCTCAGCCGCCTTTCTCATCCAGTGCTTCTCGACAAAGGCAGTGACCTCGCACTCGTACAAAACTAGGCGTCGAATGGCCTTGAACCTGTGCTCCTTCCTCTACTTCTGCTTGAGCAAGACGAAGCCAATGGAGCGATTGTGACCCACCTCAATGATGTTGTCCAAGGGGAGCAATCCTCTGGGTAGGCAAATCTCATCCAGCAGCTCGCGCGACTTATGCTTGCAGAGATCTTCTCCATGGTAAATCTCAGTGTTGTCTCTGTGGGTTGCAATTAGCCGTGTAACCATTGACGCAAAGCTAAGAAGAGCTTATTTGAGGCTTGAGGGATTTCGCTGAGATGGGTTTCACAAATTGAAATTTGTGTGTGTTTGTTTTTTTTCAATTTTTTAAATCTAGACCAATGAATAAAAATCCATGCGAATGAAATCTAAAAGTAGAATAGTCAAATAGGTATTAGGATTGTTCTATTTTAATGCTACCAATTAAATTGTATTATTTTTATATGACGGTCCAACCAGTGACCCTTGACCTACTGTCTCGACCAGCTTAGTCACCGGTCTGATTTTTTGTTCCTTGGATAAAACAGGGGCATCCTTGGTAAACCATTATAGAAGGGGCAGAGAGAACATAGAGATTTACCATCCGAACCTTACATAATTCGAGTTTGTAACACAATCATTTTGGGTTCCAGGAGACCTTAAGTGCAGTGCACGATATAACCAAAATGGCACAATATTGTGAGGCAAGGGATACTCCTATATATAGAACAAGAGCCATAAAACAAAGAAGCCTTCTCATATCCCATGCCAAAAATTTTCATCTATGTATTTGTCTTCCTGTTCCTGAAGATCAGATCAATTTTATGTATGCCTTATTCACAACCATATATCAAGCAAAAAAAAAACAGAGAGAGAGAGATCAACAATTCCTGTGACAAAATGACCTATACTACACACACACACAGAGCTAATTAGGACTCAGCCTAAATCTGATGGCATTATTTAAAAACATGAAAAACTTAATACAATAATTAGTCCGTGTAACATCCTAATTTTAATTCAGGATTCCAAAAAAATGACTTAGGCTGAGTGCTTTAAATTGGTGAAAATGATCGATACAAAGGAGAGGAAAGAAAAGATACTCTAAAGAAAAGCGGTTTTCCTCTTATACGGCTTGATAAACCCTAATGGAGGTATTCTAACTTGATTTTTCACCCTTCTACCTTATAATTTTGGGATTTTGAGATGTCTGAAATTAGGCTCTATGAATGGTTCGAATTCGATTCTAAGGAGTTTCTACCTATTAAGTTGTGTTCAAATGAATCAATGGGAGTTGATTAGTAGCATTTAATTAGTTTAATTTTGATCCATTACATAATTATGATGATTTCACCATTAAAAAGGAGGAGGAAGAATGTTTTTGTCTTATACTTTTGGATTGGATCTAAGTGCATTTTCTATGCTAACCCCAAAACCCCCAACCAAAAATAAAAAAGACCTAACAACAAAATTCATAAGAAATCATTAGTGCTTTTATGATGAAAGCCATAGAAGCATATATAAACAGAAAAAGTAACATTATCGAAAAATAAATAGCAAAATTAATAAATCTCTCATTTTCCTAATATGTCAATGAATGTTTAGGACATAAATTTAAGGGTAAACGTGCACCAACACCCTAAACTATTTTTGAAGGTGCACCTAGCACCCTAAATTATTAAGTAGTGCAATTCATTCCCAATCTATTAAAATATATGCAATTTTACCTAAAACTAACGAACTCTTAAATATCTGTTTTTCCCATCTCCTTCCCCCTCTACTTCGTCCGTCTCTCCCCTCCTCCTTCCTTTCTCTTTCTTTCTGCATTTAAGAGCAAACAACCCAAGACAAGAAAAAGAAGGAATCAAAGGGAATAAGTAAGAACCCGCAAAAAAAAAAAAAGAAGTATAACTCGTGTCGAGTCAACAGGAAAATCTAGAAGAAGTTTGGTCCAACAAGAACCTTAACAGTGCTACATCCATTTGCTACAAAGTCTTTCCTAACGATCTCATGCTAATATCAATTACAATTGTCTGATGAAAAATCTCTCGAGAGAAGGCATGGAATAGTTTTCCAACATCAATATTTAAAAAAAAAGGGGAAAAAACACTTCACCTCATTAATACTAGAAGGACCTTCGAAAAAACAAAAATTAATACTGGAAGGACATAATGTGTGTAGTTGAGGAATATTTAGACTGGTTATAGCTCTGCACATTTGTAATAGTAGTAACCATGGTGTTAGAAGATTTTGCACAATAATTAATCTCAGTGGATGTAACTATTAACGCATCAAGTAAACACAGCACAGGGAAATTACTCGGATGTAAATCAACTATAAATTCCAAGAAATTAGATATGGATGCAAAAGGGAAGAAAGGAAAAGGAAGGAGGAGAGGAGAGACGGACAGAGCGGGGGAGCGAGATGGGGAAGAAAACAAACGTTTTAGAGTCTGTTAGCTTTGGGTAAAATTGCACATATTTTAATAGATTGGGAACAAAATTGCACCACTTGATAGTTTAGGGTGCTGGATGCACATCTAAAATTAGTTTAGGATGTTGGGTGCACCTGTCCCCTAAATTTAATCAAGAAATCGTCAACTTTCATTATTGCAAAAACAATTTGGTAGACTTACAATAGAGTGAAATAAGGGCAAACATAGAGTAATTGAAAAGCCAAATTTAATGAAAATAAAGAAAAATAAAGCAAACACAGACAATTGCAACGTTCATATATGCGTATACTATGAACATAAATAATATGATGGCATCCATATATAATAAAAAAAAGAGAGTCAAATTTCGGAGGAGATTTGCACCTGACTATCATATTTCCAATAGATTTCTTGTCCCATCCATGCCTTCTGCATTTGTAGCTTATATCCTTCTCTGGTCTCTATATGAAGAGGACTTAGTATCTCACAATGGTAGGCCTCAAAATAATGGAGAGAAGGAGAGAGCATGGTTCCCCTGAATACAAAAGTTAATTCTGATAGAAAATTCAGCTTTAAAGATCTCACTCTAGGAAGAGTGATAGTAGGGTTAAAAGTGTTACCACTGCAATAATTCTCTCCAACTATTTCTTCCATCAACTCACAACTTCGAACAGAAATAGTCTCTCGGTTTTGGAGTTGTGCTAATAATGCTAGTGTCATCAAAATCTTCATGATGCTACATCCAAAAATATCTAGTTCTCTGAGATAAAGGAACGGGCTATCCAATGATAAAGGAAGTTGTGCCACTATTTGTTTCAAGTCTTTCAGCACAGTAAGGTGCAGCAATTGACTTAATATGACAGAGGTGCAAAATGAGCAAGTTGGAGAGACACAGAACAAGTACTCCAGCCTATCGCATTCCCTTATTTCCAACCATTCATTTTTTGCTAAATTATTATTATTATGAATTAATAGAGCATGGCTAGGGGTGGAAACAGGCCAGGCCTCACCCTTAACAGGCCAGGCCTGTGATGAGGCCTGTTGGCCTGAGCCTGGCCTGTGGCCTGTAAAAGGCCTTTTAATTGGCCTGAGCCTGGCCTGTGGCCTGTTAAGAGGCCTGGATTTTTTAATAAATTGTAAACATAAATAAATCCATTCAAAATTATAATAACTTCATCCAAATTATCCAAAATACAAACAAAATATGAAATAATCAAATTAACACAATTGTTCTTGTTACAATTATAACGAATCATACAACTACAAAGCATTAAATCTTCAACATAATTTCTTCTTCTTGTTCAAACACCTGAGAAGAAAAAATCAAATATATATTAGATCATAACAAAATTTAATAACTAATAAATATAAGAAATTGTATTATTTTTATAATTCAAGATTTGTACCTTTGGTTTCTTTTTCAAACCATACTTATTGCGAAGCCAATCCCCACCACAAATAAGTGCTTCAATTGATTGTTCATTCAATTTAGAACGATATTCATCAATAACTCTGCCACCAGCACTGAATGTGGACTCTGATGCCACTGTTGAAATTGGAATAGCTAAGACATCAGCTGCCATCTTAGACAAAATCTTATACTTTAGACTATTATTTTTCCACCACTCCAAGGCGCTGAATGAGTTAGAACTACCATCAGGAATGTAAACACCCTCCTCAAGGTAAGCTTCCAATTCTGATTTCATTGGGGGAATTGCTTGCTTTTCACGAACAATACTCATGATTTGGTCGAATCCAGTAACTATGGAAGAACCAGAAACATTGACAGGAGAGTTGTTGCTAGCATTAACAAGTTCATTACCCATAGTTGTCTCTCCCTTATGCATGCTAATATACTCATCATACATTGTTTTCATACTACTCACCACTTTATCCACATTCTCTGAAGCCACATAATCAGGTTTATAAATTAGAGGGAAACAATAATTAACAACATATAATTTGCACCTCGGATCTAGAACACTTGCAATAGCCATTAACATATTACATTCCCCCCAATATTTGTCAAACTTCTCTTTCATTGAGGATGCCATGTCTGTAATGAAGAAATCATCATCTTCTATGGCATTATCAATTACTTGTTTCACTCTCCAAACTTCAGGAAGGTACAAATTTGCAGTAGGATACTCACTACCTGAGATGACATGGGTTGCTAGATTGAACACTTCTAAAAGTTTACAAATCTTCTCAACCTTATTCCAATCCTCTTCTGATGGTGCATAGTTGTAATGTGGCTCTCTTTCTTTATAAGCAGGAAAGACAACCTTGAACTTCAAAGCAGTAGACAACATCTTATATGTAGAATTCCATCTTGTTGGACAATCAATGATGAGCTTCTTTTCCTTCAACCGTTTCTGCTCAACAACATCATAAAATGCTTTCAGCCTTGAATCACTATAGTTAATATATTTCACACTCTCACGGACATCATGTATGATGTCCCTAATTCTACCAAGGCCATCTTGCACCAACAAATTTAGTATGTGTGCACAACATCTAACATGAAACAAACTACCACCAAGAGGCAATGAACTACTAAGTGATAGGGTATCTTTAAGAGCCCTCAAACAAGAATCATTATAAGAAGCATTGTCAACTGAAACAGAAAATACTTTGTTTTCAATCCCCCAAGCCTTCAAACACTTGAAAATAGCATCTGCCACGTCAATTCCCCGTCTAGGAGCAGGAACTTTCACAAAACTCAAAACCCTCTTTTGCAGATTCCACCCCGCATCTATGAAATGACCAGTGATAACCATGTATTCAGCTACTTGGTGAGCTGATTTCCACATATCAGTGGTCAAACTAATCTTGCTCACACCTTGTAATAGAGCTTTTAATTGTTTCTTTTCTGCCTCATATATGGCCAAACAATCACTTCTTGCCGTTTTGCGAGAAATTTTTTGAAATTCAGAATTTGCATACTGAAAGCCCCACATCCAGACCTCATCCTCAACAATGTTAAAAGGATGCTCGTGTACCATAATTGCAGTAGCCATTATTTCCCTCATCTTTTCATTAGAATATCTCGCACCAGGTGCTATAAATGGATTAACACTCTGATTAGAAGGTTGGAATGGAATGGTGGGTTGCTTTTGTTGTGAAGAAGTGTGCAACTTCCTTTGCAAGCAAGATCCAACATGCCTCCAAAGATGGGAAGTGCTAGCTCCCTTGCCTGAGTATGCAAATAGTTGTTTGCAATACTTGCATCTACCTTTGAGCCCATTATCAGTTTCAACTTGATCCATTTCCTCCCAAATACCTGAAGTCTTTCGCCTCTTTTTCTGAATGATACAATCACCACCATCATTCTCATCATTAGTTTGTTGACTAGAATCTGTTGGTGTTTGTTGATTGACCTCAATTGCATTTGTATTAGGAGGAACTGAATTGGATGACATTGTTTCACTTCCAAGTGGAGTTGACATTAACTAGAACTCAATAACAATAAAAAATCAGAAAAATAAAGAGTATGTAAATTAATATACTGAATAAGAGGAACGAGCAAGAGCAAACACGTCCTCAGCAAGAGCAATGCAAATAAAGCTGATGAATTGACCATTATATTCAGCAAATCTGATATGAAACAGATTGATGAGCTACCTGAATTGACTATTATTACTAGAAAACTAATAATGACTCCAACCGATATATCAATCACAAATACCAGAAAACTAATAATGACTCCAGCCTATATATCAATCACAAACCTTGGATTAATTCATCAGATAAGAACACGAAGAAGAAGCAAACACGTCCTCAGGCTAAGCAAACACGAAGAAGAAGCAGTCTACAGATCGATGCAAATATTTTTATTCTAGTGGTTCCCCTTTCTCCCAGGATAAGGACATTCATATCACGAATTATAATTTCAGAAGCAAACACAATCAATGCATTAAATTTGTGAACCAAAGAGAAAACTTACAACTTACTTGTTCTGCCAATGTTAACTCGGACTGCAACTTCTGAATGTAAGTGAGAGGCTGAGAGCTTTGGGAGACAAATTTGCAAACAAACAAGGCTAAATCACTCGGGTCTTTGCACGGCGTTCGGCAGATCAGAAGTTTGAACCATAAAAGAATCAATCAGGCTACAACACTCGGTATTCTCAATCCAGAAATAAAAGAATCAATAGGCAGCGCTTGACTAGATAATACATATATATATGTGATGGAATCGAAAATGCAGAGGCAGCAGATTTATATCTATGATGGAATCAAAAACGCAGCGGTCAACCGAAGAACAAAATGGAAGAAGAAGGGAGGAAGGGAAGCGTGTGCGATTAGCTAGTGGGTACCTGAATGTGCCGCTATCAGCCCGTGCGCCGCCGTCGACTAGCTTCTGAGTTCTGCCGTTTGCTATTTTCTGTTGCCGAGCGCCGACCAGAGAGTAGAGAAGCCTGGAACTTCCACTGTACGCTGTTTGGACTGGAATCTGGAAGGATTAAGCGTAGTCTGTAGAGCCGAAAATGAAATGGGACCGTCCAAACTCCAAAGCCGAAGAACTGAAGATTGAAGAAGAGACGGGCGAGTGGCGACGGCAGCGTGAGCGGGGAGATCGGGAGAGTAGGAGTGACCGAGTGACTTAGGGTAAATTTCTCACCCCCTATGAAATTACAATTTTAACCCTAAAAAAAAAAAAACAGGCACAGGCCGGCCTAACAGGCCTAAAAGGCTGATTATCAGGCCTGAGCCTAGCCTGATAAGATAAACAGGCCATTTCACAGGCCTGAGCCTGTTCTGATAGTTAAATAGGCCAGGCCAGGCCAGGCCATTTACAGGCCAGGCCACAGGCCCCTGACAGGCCGCCTGGCCTATTCCCACCCCTAAGCATGGCATAGGCAAGTAGTTATCCTTGTCAAATCATTACACCTGCTTATAATCAACCTTTTGACGTCTCCTGGAAGTATCGCTACTCTATTTACCCAATCAATACCATATAAAACAACCCCTTTTAAGTGGTAGACTCTTTCAATTGAGAAAGCGGCATAATGTAACGAGGCTAAACTTAGATAATAACCTTTGAGTCTATGATATTTGTTTAGGAAGCTTTTAACAAAGGTATTAAACTCTTCAATATCACAAAAATTGACTGATATAACTTCCAACTTTCTCAAACCTTGTAGATCTTGTCTACCCACATCCATCAATGCTAGGATGCAGTTCATCAACAGAATTTGTAGATTGCTCATTTTGGATATTGCCGATGATGACATTTTCAATTGATTTGTACCATGTAGATTCAACAATCGAAGATTGACCAACAACTCCAGGTCACAAGGTGCTTCAATGATGGTAGTCTATGAAAGGTCCAACTCTATTAAACGCTGCAGTTTTGCTAATGAAGGGATGTAATTTAATTTTCTACCTCGTGAGAGTAATAATGCAATGAGACATTTCCAAGTTAGATATAGATTCGAGCAAATGCTCAATGCTAGTCTGAGATAAATCAAGTATTTTAAGAGCAAGCATGTTAATGAAAAAATCATCTAGAATCCATTTGAGATAAGAATTAGTGTAAAGATATGTAAATATATTGTAATTAATATAGGATCAAATCAGATATGATAGGATAGGATATTATCCTCTAATAATAAGCCATTAATGACCGAGGCTCCTCTCTTGTGTATATATTCCCCCTTTCTGATCATGAATATACAAGAAATATATTTCACATTATTTTTCTCTTTGATATGGTATTAAAGCAAGCATTTTAGGGTTATTTTCTTCTCTGGTTTGAACTCTGGTGCGCTGTACGTTAGTGGTTCTGTGTCAGTCTTTGTGCCTACCGTTAGGGCATCCGTTCCTGTCATCGAGTAGGAGCACACGCTGGTCAAGGGGAGTCATAAGGTCTAAACCAGACAAACCCCAGAGTCTCGTCACCGTCCTACTAGCGCATGAGATCTACGCACCGTCACCAGTGATGGTTTGTTCATGCGCCGATCGTTTTCCGGCTACTTTCCAACGTTGAAGCCCTTCCTTGGCTTCGTCTTCTCTTTTCCGGATCATCTCTGGTGCGTTTTTGATCTGGGTCTTCCTCCTTGCTTTGATTCAGATTTGTTTTTATTTCTGTGAGGCAACGTTACTGTGCGTTCAGTTCCAGTCTCCATACTATTGTCTTTGGTTTGCCTAAACTGACATTGGGTATTACTGGTTAGTCCTTAGTGTGACCATTTGTGGCTATTCATTCTTTTTTATCACTGTTAAAATTATTCTTTATCTTTTCTGTTAATCTCTCATGGGTGATAATAAGTCTGCAATTACTTCTGAAGTAGTTCTACTAGTCGTTAAGATTAATGAGCATAAATTAAACTGGACAAATTATCTGGATGGGAGTAAGACCATCCGTATTTACTTGCAAAGCATTGAGAAGGAGGATCATTTAACTGTCGATTCCCCTAATAACTGATTCTCATCAGTCATGGTTAAGAGACGATGCACGGCTCTTCTTACAAATCTGTAACTCTATTGACAGTGAGATTATTCCTTCTATTACTCATTATGAATTTGTCAAAGAACTGATGAATTATTTAGAATTTTTATACTCAGGCAAGGGTAATATTTCTCGTGTTTATGAGGTTTGCAAAGCTTTTTATCATGCAGAGAAGCAGGATCACCTTCTTAAGACCTACTTCATGGATTTTAAATGAATGTATGAAGAATTGAATGTTCTCATGCCTCTTACTACTGATCTGAAGGTCCAACAGGCCCAATGAGAGCACATGCCCATCATGAGTTTTCTCACTGGTCTTCCGCCTGAATATGAAACTGTTCGCTCTCAAATTCTATCTGGTTCTGAGATTCCTACCCTTCAAGAGGTGTTCTCTCGTGTGATGAGGACTGAGAATCTTTCATCACTAGTTACTAATGCTACTGTCAGTGCTCTAATTAGTGGAGGCCCAAATGATAGTGGTAGGACGACTAACCATGGCAGCTCCAAGCAAGGGGAAACTACTCCAGATTCAAGTGGGGTGGTATGTTACTACTATAAGGAATCGGGCCATACAAAGCGTACTTGTTGTAAGCTACAAAATAAACAACAAAGTAATAACTTTGCTGCACATGTGGCAAAGCTAGCTGATGATAAGGTCACAATCTCTGCTACTGAATATGCTCAATTAAAATCTCTCACACCACCCGTGAGTGCTCCTGCTGCTACAGGTAATCAGGCTACTGCTCTTGTCTCTTTTTCCTCTAAATGGATCATAGATTCTTGTGCTACTGACCACATGACAGGTAACCGCCATCTCTTCTCCACCTATAATTCTTATGCCAATCCTTCAACTATCACTATTGCCAATGGCTCCCATTCCCAGGTCCTCGGATCAGGCACTGTTAAACCTACCCCCTCCATTCATTTGTCATCTGTGCTAGATGTATCTGATCTTGCATTTAATCTGCTTTCCCCTAGTAAACTTACTCGTCAATTAAATGTTGGGTCTCACTCTTTCCAGATCATTGCTTAATATAGGATCTTTTGACGAAGAAGATTATTGGTAAGGGCTATGAATCTGGTGGACATTATTTTCTTGACGAGCAAGGGTCTCGTGTCGTGGCTTGTGCCGATGGCCTCACTCCTTTTAAAGCACATTGTTGTTTGGGTCATTTGTCTTTGTCTTCTTTAAAAAGGGTTTATCCTCAATTTCAACATTTGTCATCTTTAGATTGTGAGTCGTGTCAGTTTGCCAAAAATCATCGTCTTCCTTTAGTTTCTCGAGTCAATAAATGGGGCTTCATCCCCTTTTGAGCTAGTTCATTCTAATATTTGGGGTCTGTGTCCTGTTGAGTCAACAGTGGGTTTTAATATTTGTTACATTTGTTGATGACTATTTCCGTACAACTTGGTTATATTTAATGAAAAGTCATTCTGAATTATTCTCTCATTTTTGTGCCTTTTTTTACGGAAATTAAAACTCAATTTCATACTTCCATTCGCACTTTACATAGTGATAATACTGAAGAATATTTTTCTAGCACGTATCAATCCTATATGCTTCAAAATGGTGTCCTTCATCAATCTTCTTGTGTTAATACACCAACTCAAAATGGTGTTGCAGAATGTAAAAATCGCCACTTGCTAGGGGTGACACGAGCACTTCTGTTTCAAATGAAGGTTCCCAAAACTTTCTGGGTTGATGCTATCTCCACTGCTTGCTTCTTCATTAACCGCATGCCCTCTTCGGTTCTTGATGGTAACATTCCCTATACTACTCTTTTCCCTTCAAAACCTTTGTTTCCTATTGATCATAGGATCTTCGGCTATGTTTGCTTTGTCCGGGATGTACGACCATCTGTCTCCAAATTAGATTCGAAGTCCCTTAAGTATGTCTTTCTTGGCTACTCTCAGGTTCAAAAGGGCTATCGGTGTTTCTCTCCTACTCTTAATCGTTATCTCATTTCTACAGATGTCACCTTTTAGGAATCGATTCCATACTTTTTTCCGTCCATTTCACCTGCCCCTACCCCATCTGTGGAAAAGAATGACCTTCTAGTGTACCCTGCTCTCCCGCTACCCACTCCACCACCTCTAGCTCCTGCTCCGACTTTGGCTCCTGTGCCACCATCCCTGCCTCGTGTCTACACAAGACATTCCAAGGAGATCAATGTCACCATCCCAGATTTTGGCCCTCTAGTGTCTGTTTTATTATCGGATCCTGTGTTGAGCATCTCTCATCTTGAGCCTATACCTCTCTCCAACTTCAAGACACCTCTTGTTCCTAATCCAAATCCTTCACTTGACTTGCCCATTGCTCTTTGTAAAGGTAAACGCACTTGCACCCATCCTATTTCCTCATTTGTTTCTTATAACCACCTTTCCCCTGCCTCTTATGCCTTTGTCTCTTGTTTAGATTTTATTTCTATACCTAAGACCCTTCATGAAGCTTTAACCAACCTGGGTTGGTGTCCTGCTGTGGAAGAGGAGATGGCGTCCCTTAACCGGACTGGCACTTGGACCTTAGTGGATCTACTGGCAGGAAAGAAGGCTATTGGCTGTAAGTGGGTCTTAACCCCTAAAACTCGAGCTGATGGTACCCTTGACTGCCTTAAAGCTTGCTTGGTTGCTAAAGGCTATACTTAGACCTATGGTGTTGATTCCTCTGAAACTTTCTCCCCTATTACGAAACTTTCCTCTGTTCATCTTTTCATCTCTATGGCGGCAACCTATGGCTAGGATCTCTATCAATTGGATATAAAGAATGCCTTTTTATATGGTTATCTTCTTAAAGAAGTCTATATGGAGCAACCACCAGGCTTTGTTGCTCAGGGGGGTGTGGAAAAGTATGTTGCCTCAAGAGATCCTTATATGGCCTGAAGCAAAGTCCCCGTGCATGTTTTGACAGGTTCAGTACTGTTGTGCAGAAATTTCGCATGTGTCAAAGTAAGTGTGATTACTCTGTGTTCTATAGAGCACAGGCACTGGCATGATTCTATTGGTTGTATATGTAGATGATATTGTGATTACAGGGAGCAATATGTCGAGGATCTCTTCACTTAAGTCCTTTCTTAATTCTCATTTTCAAACAAAAGATCTGGGCCCGTTAAAGTACTTTCTCGGAATTGAGGTCTTAAAAAGTAAGAAAGGAATCTTATTGACTCAAAGGAAGTATGCTTCTAATCTATTGAAGGAAACTGGAAAGTTAGGGCTGCGCCAAACAATTTTCCTATGATTTATAATCCACTCCTTGATGCCGATGGAAGCATACAATTTGAGAATCCTGTTGATGCTGCTAAGAGCAAGCTGTTTGAGAACCCGTAGAGGTATCGAACATTGATTGGAAAATTGAATTATCTTACTGTGACCCATCCTTATATCACCTATCCAGTCAGTGTACTTAGCCAGTTTATGGTCTCACCTACTATTAGATAGTGGGAAGCTCTAGAGCATGTGCTTCATTACTTGAAGGGGTCTCCAGCTCGTGGGATATTATACAGAAATCATGGTCATACAGATATTGAGTGCTTTTCTGATGCTAATCATGGTGGTTGAAAGGCCACAAGAAGATCTACTATATGATATTATGTCTTTGAGGGAAGAAATTTGGTGTCCTAGAGGAGCAAGAAGCAGAATGTGGTGTCACGATCAAGTGCAAAGGCAGAATATAGAGCTATGGCACAATCTGTGTGCAAGATCGTCTGGATATATCAATTATTGAAGGAGATTGGTCTTAAAACCTCATTACCAGCAAAATTGTGGTGCAACAATAAAGCAGCTTTACATATAGCTTCTAATTCAATGTTTCATGAACGCACAAAACACATTGAGATTAATTGTCATTTTGTTCGAGATAAGATCAAGGAAAACTTAATCTCAACAGGACACGTGAGGTCTAGTGATCAATTGGGTGATCTCCTTACTAAAGCTTTGAATGGGGTTCAGGTTGACTATCTTTGTAACAAGTAGGGCATGATTGACATCTATGCTCCACCTTGAGAGAGAGTGTAAAGATATGTAAATATATTGTAATTAATATAGGATCAAATCAGATATGATAGAATAGGATATTATCCTCTAATAATGAGCCACTAATGACCGAGGCTCCTCTCTTGTGTATATATTCCCCCTTTCTAATCATGAATATACAAGAAATATATTTCACATTATTTTTCTCCTTGATAATTAGAATCTAAAAGCAATGCAGAAAGGTTAGAGCACTTGGGAGTTGTGTCATCTAAAATATCCAGTACATCACTTTTACTTAGAAAAATAGAATGCAAATTTTCATTCCATTTTCCATTCTCTGACAATCCTATTAAATTCATACCATGTTTTGTCATGATTTGTTCAGTCTTCTTTGCAATATTAATAGCCATAGCCTAAAGTAAAGCGTGAACTCTCCATGTCCCGTACTTTTTCACCAACAAACTGCTATTTTTTAATTTATGGCACATGGTGTAACATTCATTATATCGTATCTCAATGCTCTTTGCCCCATTTGTCCGTTCCCTATAGAAAAATCTTTTCATAAAAGGCTTAATAACACTATCCAATACAGTCCCCTTAACGCTCA